TATAATTTATATATAAAAATTTACTTTAAAAAATTTGTACTTTTTTAAAGTATCAAATTTTCGAAAATTTTTGAAAAATTTTTGGAAATTTAACACTATGTTAAAATTCTGAAAAATTACATCTATAATATTATGGAATTTTAATATCTGAAAAATTTTCGAAAATTTTCCGGAAATTTCCATAATATTTTGTAAAAAATTCCGAAAATTTAATACCATATTAAAATTCCAGAAATTTTTGCTTATTAAAATTTACTGATGATTATTAATGATATATCTACATTGTTTATTTGCCATATGTTTACCCGTCATTATAACCTTTTCTTTTATCAGATCCCTTTGAAATTTTTTATCCCCTTTTCATCTATCCATATACCCAAGTATCTTACAGCTTCTTTTTGTTTTGGTAAAATTTTATTATTCATAAAATCTATATCCTAAATTTTATCTTCTACTTTACCATTTACTATTATAAGTTCTAATTTTGTTAGGTTTACTTTAATTTTATTTAATTCAAAAAACTTTCTACTATTTTCAAAATATTTTCTATCTCTTTTTTGTCTTTTGTTACCTGAACTATATCATCTATAAATGTCATTGATATTATTTGTTTGTTTTATATATTTTTTCTCTTAATGTCATGTCGAGTCTCCATTTTATTTCTATCTTATATCCCCTTTTTAAATTATTTATTTCTGTTAACAATAGATCATAAAATATACATCATAATAATGGAAATATAGAATCTCCTTGATCTATCCTTTTAATAACTCTGTATTCTTCCGTTGGACTATATTCAGTAACTCCCCTTGCTATTCTATTTTCTCTTATAAAACTGATTATATTTACTATCTTTTTTGGAATTTTTAACCGTTTTAGAACTAGTCTCAACATCTGTGTATCGACTGAGTCAAAAGCTTTACTTATGTCTTGATCTAGTAACCAAAGTTTTTTTTTATGCTCTCCTGCATTTTCCATTATATTGTTAATAATATGTATTGGAGATGAGGTCCTCCCTTCAGGTAACCCCACGTAATTATTGCCACTCAGAATATTGTTTGTCTTTAGGATATCTGATAGTCTACATCAGGAAATTTTTGAGGGCGAATATATCTGAATAAATTTTATAATATGCAGATATATGCGAATATATTTGGAATATGTGAATTATGTGTGGGTGGTCGAATATATCTAAATTAAAGTTCCTCATAGGCCTTAAGGCTCGCGAGCCTAGCGAGCCGAGCTGATCCAAGTCGAGCCGAGCCTGATATTATAAGTTCATAGGCTCGCGAGCCAAGCCTAACTAAGGCCTGACTCGAGCCTTAAAAATTTTGGGACCTTAAATAAAAGTCCACATAATTTTTTTTTTAAAAAAAAATTATCCGTTACTATTTAAAGCGATGGATCATTAAAAAAAAATTAAAATTTTGTGGCTTTATTTAAAAGCTACGAAATTATTTTTTTTAAAAAAAAAAAGCGATCCGTTACTATTTAAAGCGACAGATCGCTAAAAAAAAAATTAAAATTTTTAATTGTTTTTTATTTTATTGAAATTATTAATTGTTTTTTTTAAATAAAATTAATAACATCATTTTATTTTAAATAACTATAATAATCTTTAATCATATTTGATAAAAATAATTTAAAAACAGCCATTTTATTAATTATAACTCTCTTAAAGTAATAAGATCCTATTAAAAATTCTGAAATTATATAAACTAATAAATAAATGAAATATTACTTAATTACGATTCTATAAATTTTTTTAAACAATACAATTATCCTTTCTTTCTTATCTAGATCTATAGAACAGTATTGCATCACCTGAAGCACTATAAAAATCATCATAAAAACAATTAAAAAATAATAATTAGTACTTAAAAATATTTGAAAATACTTGAAAATTATATAAACTAATAAAATAAACAAAGTATTATCTATTTGCAACTCTGTAAACCTCTTTTAAATTATATAATTTCCTTTCTTTCTTGTTTAGATCTAGAATGATATTGCGCCATCTGATTTTACTGCAAAAAAAAAAAGTTTTAAAAATAACCAAAAAGTAATAATATTTAATACCTAAAAATATCAGAAAATTATCTATACTAATAAAATAAATGAAATATTACCTACCTACTATTCTGTAGACCCCTTTTAAATTATATAATTATTCTTCTTTCTTGTCTAAATCTATAAATGGTATTGTGCTATCCAATTTCATTGCAAAAAAAAAAATGGTTCTAAAAGTAATTAAAAAAAATAATATTTAGTACTTAAAAATTATTTAATTTAATAAAACAAATAAATTATTATCCACTTATAACACTATAGATCCTTTTAAATTATATAATTGTCATTTTTTTCTTATTTAAATTTATATAATCTGATTCAAAAAAAAATTGTTAAAATTAATTTATAAATGTTATTTTTATATTTTTTTAAAATTACATACCTTCTTAAAATTGATACTTGTTATGTAATATTTTATAACTTAAATATTATTATGTAAACTTTAATTATAAATTCTTATCATACTTTTATTATTTTTATAAAATAGTTATAAAATATGAGATGTTAAAAATAATTTGGAATTTGAAACTTTTTGATCTTTGGATCTCAAATAATTTTGATATATTTTGGTAAATATAATATTATAATAATTTAAATATGTGCGAAGACAATATACCAATCAAAAATTATTACAAAAAAAACAATATAGTGTTACCTAATGTAGAGCAATGAGTATTCAGGTGATAATAATAAATGATATTTTGCTTGTTTAAATTATTTAACTTTTAGTTTGTATCATAGCTAATTCATAATATCAGTTTATAGCATTTTTTATGATTGATCTATTTGGTTGATAAAGTTATGGAATAATAGTTCACTGAATAGTTTTAGCAGAACTTATTCAGATTTTTATTTACAATCTAAAGACTCTTTGAATTAATTCTGTTACATGCCTTTTGCTATATTTAGGTATTTCAAAACAATTGAAATTATGTATACATATATCACAACTATAGGTACTGTCAAATTCAAAATGCTAAATTCCAAATCCTAAATTCCAAATTACTAATTGTTCAAATCCCAAATCCCAAATACTATAAAAACTAAATTTTGACAACTGGAATATCAAAATAATTTGAAATTTGAACAGCATATATAATTATAATCAAAATAATCATAAAAGTATCTGCATTCTAAACAATGTACTGCTAAAATAAAAATATAGATTTTGAGTTCATTTTTCTCACATGAAAAGTCTACAGGACAATCAAAATAGGTAAAATTTACAATATAAGCGTCCTTCCATTATTATTAATTTATACTAGAAAATACTTATCTTTAATTTGTCATTTCAGAACCTTCCGCATTTCATTATCTCTGTAGTGAAATTAAGGTTTGAACAATTGTAAGTCAAAATTTCATGTCTAATTACATTTATATAGATCTGTAATATTTCATATATACTCACATATTGGTCGTGATATTATATAAGATAATTACGAGATTAACTTTGTATATGTTTTTTTTTTATGTGACCTAATTTCTCACATTGAATATTTTCCATTTTTTTTTTACCGATTATGAAACTCACATTTTCTTTTTGATCTTGTTATAATAAAAAAATCTTACCTCTTCCATATAAAATTTCAAATATAATATCAATTTAGGTTAGATAGAATATTTTCAAATGTGAATTGTGAGCGAATATAGTAATACAATATAAAAACAGATAAAGTTTTGTAAAAAATAATAAATAGATAACCATTTATAATATGTTCCTTTCTAATTACAAAATTCTTATATTAAATATTCTTAAAAATATTTTTTCAGAAGTTATTGCAAATGGAATTATTGTTTCAGAACTAGGCTTATATATATTATGTAATGAAGAATTATTTTTGAGCTTAATAAAATAACCATTTACTACTCTACCATGTGAGAATATATTCCATTGTGCATGTCTCAAAAAAAGTATTATCAATAGTATAAAAATTTGTCTTGCTAATAATTGTTTTAAACCTTTCAAATTGAAATTAGAAAATATAAAAGTATCAGAACTATCATTTTTTTCATTTCAAGATAGTATGAGCATCCCAATATAAATTTTATCACAAATAGTATCTGGTTAGAGATGGGATGCAATAATTATGAAAGCAATGACAATTCAAAACTCTAATCCTATTTTATCGTGACTCCCTTTATATTCAAACTATATAAAACAAATTTAAAAAAGACCTAGTATAGATATCTCTAAAGTTAAATCATCCAGTAAAAAGCAAAAATTAAGAATGTCTCTTCTATGATGAAAAAACTTATTAAAGAACTATTCTCTGAAACATTGCAAGAATCTGAAATTATAGAAGTGAGTTTGGATGATTTTTTAATTTATATCATACAATTATTACAATGGAAGAACAGAATGTGAATACAAATCAAAATATTATTAAATCATATTATAATTTTTGAAAAGCAGTTAATGAATGATATGATTATTACAAGAAAAACAATCCTAAGCAAACAGCTCAGGCTTTGATTAATGAAGTTTGAAAACAACTCTCAAACTCTATTAGTAATGACTTACTGAGAAAGAAAAAATAATAGGCTTTGAAAATTTATGACCTGTTTAGTGAAATTGGTATATAAATAATTCAAAGGATTAAATCTTTTACCATATCATCAATATCAAAATTAAGCCAAAATATCAACTGTATATTGATTAAATTTAAATTTGCAAAATAAATATTTACTGCGGTAGCACGTGACGTTGTGAACTCAGTAAATAAAGCATCAATTTTTTTCCCATATCGGGTTTGTGAGATGTAAATCGTATAAATTGTATATTGTATAAAGCGTATATATTACTATTAAATTTTTTGGTAAAATGGACAATACGTGCATAATTTATGTGACGATCATAACCATTAAAATTGTTTTAAGATCGTATATTAGCAGATGTTAATAGCGTCTTCGACACATATCAGATCATTCCTTTTTTGGTTCTTCTTTCATTGGGATTTGTAAATATCCGAATACGTAGGACATTTGACTTAATACGTAGGACATTTGACTTTCCAATTTATCAACTTTATGATCAACTTGATCTAATTTCTAGATTGAATGAGAAGTTTAGCATTAGTAACTATGTACTTGTATTAGGAATGATCATTGTCATCTTCACTCACTTTCTCAAGTGGTCCAATCGCGCTACTAATTGCGCTATCAATAGTCTCCTTAACCAAATGATTCATGGCAAACACAGAACCTCCTGTCAAACCAATAATACTAACGATTAAAGTAGCGGCAGGAACATATTCTTTTATATCTCGTAACTTTCCGATGGCTTTATTAATTTATATGTAGTAAAGATATTAGTACTGTAAAGGCTAAAAATGAGCAACTCTGACACTAATTTTTACCTTTCACACTATTTTCTGAAACGAGATATCTTCTTTGCGCACTTGCGAGGTGTTTGCCATATTGACTAAACATTGTGTAAGTTATTGTTTTTTTTCGTTTAGTAAGAAAATTTGGTTTTTTTCGTTTTAATAAGGAAATTATTTGTTTGTTAAAAGGTTCGAGAGATAGGATAAAATACTTATATATATACATATCTTTTATAAATGATAGACTCACTTCAAAATTAGTAAAATGGTCAATTTTATTACACTACAAAACGTTACTGCGGAAATTTCCTATATAGCATCTGTGATACATATTTAGACTAACCACTATAAGTATTGACATCATCGGATCAGACGAGTTTATAATTAACAATTGTGCTATACTAGTAATAAATTTGACTCTAGTAAGTAGAGTTTATTATAATCATTGAATCAGACGAGTTTATTATTAACATCATCGGATCAGACAAGTTTTATTTTCGTACACTACTTTACCATGATTTTTAATTCGTGAAAATATATTGAACTGCAATATGAAAATTAAATATATTATAAATTATTTGATTATAGGTCGAAAATTTTAAACGCTTGATTAATGAAACCCTTAATTTTTTGTATCCTTTCAGGAATAACAATTTCTGGATTTTCATCGTATCATACTTCAAGTAGGAAAATCCCATTATCTTGACATAGGAAACTTTTTAGCCGATCACGATTTACAACATCCTCAAGTTTTTTGACATCTTTATACCAGCTAGTGCTATGGAGCCGATGCTGAGCCCCTGTACCTCTAATGCAATTTGGTATTTCTGAAAGAAGGTATAAATTCTAATCCATTCAAGAAAGGAGGACGATACTCAATTAACGGTTCCTCATTTAGAATTTCTTTGGTTATCTGAATACATTTATTCTGAAATTTACGATTTTTCTTAGATATCGGCTTCTGTTCCAATTTTGTGATTCTATCTTTAAGTTCAGAATTTTCTGCTTGACTTAACTCTGAGGTCTGTTCTAATTCCGCAATTTTGATCTCAAGCTTATTTTTTTCTTTTATAATCTGTTCTAGTTCCACGATTTTGGTCATAAGTACCGCATTTTCATCCATAAGTTTGTCTGAGTAAATCTAGTTCAGATTGCATATTTGACAATGTTTTATACAAGATGTAGGTATGTTCAATAGTTGAATTACAAGTAAAAAAGATAACTGAATTTTTCTGTGTTATTTTTCATAACGCCAATCACTTTTGCCAAGAAAATTATGGAAAAATTATATCTACATTACACGAAAAAAAATAATGCATTTATATACAGTGGGTGATCAAAAATCACTGGACAGTTGAAAATTTTAAAAAAATTACTAAAATTAAAATGCTAATTGTGCCACAACGAGTGATCTAATTTGCACAAGCTTTTTTTTATTAGATTACCCTAAACCAGGGCTATCATATGATATATTTTGTGTTAAATTAAGTGTCTGTACATAGCGAAATTACGCTTCAAATAAAATTGACAAAAAATAAAAAATTTAAGCTTCGAACGTTACCCATACCGCTTTCTATACACTTCAAAGATAGATATCAACTATCTTATATGAAAATGTAGCCAAGAGCAATGTCTACAACTTTAATTAGAAACACTTTTCATAGTTTATAATTAAATTTTCGACTTTAATTAGACGTGAACGAAAACGGCCGAAATTTATTAAAAATTTTTAAAAAATAAAAAAAAAATCCAAAAATAATTATCAATTGTTTTTACATCTAAAAGTATTTTCTTTGTTAATATGATAATAAATCTGATGGTTAAAAAAAAAAAAAAATATGATAATAAAAATAAAAAAAAAAAACTCTCTCCTGCATTTGACAAAAATTAAAAATAAAAATTCAAAAAATTCAAAAATCATATGGACATAAGAGACGAAAATATTTTTTTAGGAGTTCAACCTCCTGAAGGAAATATTACAACACCCAAAGCCTTAGCAGTTCTCTTTTTGAAAAATCAAAAAACAAAGTTACAAAACATAATATCTTTCGAAAAACTATTACACTTTCCAGAATTAAAGAGTTTTCTATATTTTTTCTTTTCACAACCTTAAAGTAACAAGAACAAAACACTTTCTCAGAACACATTATCAATAACCCAGAATATGCAGTGCTGGTTACTTTAACAGTATAAACATCTCTTACAATACAAGAAGAGTTATAGCTGTTGTCCAAACATTTGACACTATTTCTTTCTACTTACAGCATAAAATAATAAAACAAGCTACAAACAATATGGATAATATAATTCTCAACTAGAAAAATCAAGAGCTATACATTAATGCTATCAACTCGATAGAAGAAACCATTATTATAAAAAACACAAACTATATTTCATTAGACACATCCTTTAACTCTTCTTGTGAAAACTCTTCTGTACTCTCAAAAAAATACATGGCCTTCTCACTTCTAAAAATGATTAGCAGGTAAATAATTCAACTGACAAACAAAGAAAACCAGTTACGCAATGTGACAATGAAACACAAAACTGGTTTGAGATTCAGGAAATACAAAATAAACATGCAACTAATGCAAATAAAATACCAATAGTAAGACAAAGATTCTTAAACACAATATATAATGATATATAAAATCAAAACTCATTTATAATTTATTACCAATCACAATACACCATCAGACAATTTTAAAAGGCAAAAATCTCTGGAAATTTTTCAACTTAATTATCTTTCAGAAGTTTTGCAGACTCCCAAAATTTTTTAGAAAAAAAATTCGCAATATTCTGAAAATTTTTGTAATTTTCTAGAATTTTTTGTAATAAAAATTTGTAAATATTTTGGAAATTTTGTAAAAAAATTCACAATATTCTGGAAATTTTTTGTAAAAAATTTGTGTAGAAAATTGTTATATTTTTAATTTTTTCGAAAAGTTTCAATAAGTTATAATTATATATAAACAAATTGTTTTATATTTATAATTTATTATTATTTTATCATATTTATAATTATTA